AATGGCTTTTAGAAAATTATGTGATCATTGAACACCTAGGGTAATACTGTATCTGAACATTAATTTTATTGAGTTTTTGAAATATATATAATATATAATGATCGGTAATTTCTGCACAAAATAATGTCATGTCTTTTTATAATCATATACACAATTCTGAAGCTGCTGTACATGTAAATGAGTCCAAATGTATAACCATTTATTAGTGATTGACGACACAGTAAATGTAATAGTAGAACAAATAAAGAAACACTAGAAGTATTTATTAGTTGTCGACTAGATATATTTCAAATAAATGGGAGAGTGAAAATATTGCAACAAATATTCATCTTAGCTCTCATTTTCTTGATATGTTGGGTTAGAAAATGAACTTGAAGCGACCTCTACATCTGTATATATTCTGCTACCACGTACTATGGCTTGTTTAATTTCAGTTTTCCGAGCTTTCTTTTTCCGTCGACGGAACATAATAGTCGTTATGGCTATGATACAAACGACAAGAAGAACAAGCACTGTCATCAGCAGTGGTAGACGCCACTGTGTAGAGACTGTAAGCAATAATAGCAATAACAGTGTGATTAGTTGTAATACCTATCTCTGACTGCGATATCTAAAACCTGGGATATTTATTGCTAAGATCACTGTGACCGTGATATTTATGTCCGCAATGCATTCTAAACGACAGTAAGACACAACACTCACCTGAATCCTCTGTTGTGGTTTGGTCACCAGTTAGTGTATCTATAAAAACGATGGGGTGTTTTCAGTATTATGAAGTTCAGAAGTAATAAGTTCTTACACTAAACTATTGTGACCGAACAATTAGTGATGTAAATAACTCACCGGAACATGCATGCTCGTTGCAAGGTATCTCCCGTGAGTCTTCACCCACACAGTCTAAACCACCATTGGCTGGACTAGGATTCGAACAGTCTCTTTTGATTACAAGTACACCTCCACCACATGACTCACTGCATTCAGTGCTCTCGTACCATACACCCCAACCGCCGTTAACGATGACAGTGACTTGTTGGATAGCAGAGAGCTCACCGGGCAGAGTTCCAGCTGCTTTGTCTTGTTGGAAGGTTGATTCTATATTGTGTACAACGTCAAGGGTGGCTTCAGAACTACGTTCGATTTGTCTGCCCATATCCTAAGTAAATAGGTGGTGATATAATAATTATATAAATAGTAAGTTATGATAAAATAGTATATGAAATGTATTTGTTTTAAATACTTAATTCACTTACGATGACAACACGGAATTGGAATGTGTTTCTCGTCGACGTCTTGAACTATCTTCCCAGCAATCCACATCACTGCATGACCAAATGCCTGCTACACTATTTCGAACATACTCTCCAAAATCGCCACATATGCGAGAAATTGAAGCAGACTGCAAATATGGTAAACAAGGGTTATATATGGACTAACTCATTAATTAATTAAGGAAGTATACACACATATAGTCATAGACATTGGAATTTGATTATGCAAAAAAACATATGACAATATAGGCTTATGCATATATCTAAAGACAATACATACCGAGTCAACGACAATATCTACAACAACGCATCCATCCGACGAACCGTCCCGGTGATCTGCACATGGTCTGTTATCAGCCGATCTGTCTTGGATACTGTCGGAACAAATACTGCTACAAGAATTGCCAACGCAATTTACGTCCACTGGCAAGCAATTACTGTCAGATGGACAGTCAAAATCACTCTCACAGATTTGGTGGCCATTAAAGTTCTGGATACAAACAAAAAAATCATATAATTCATATTCTCAAACGAATTACTTTTACAACCAAATTATCTTTATCATAGTTGACAATATCGAACAAATGTAAAAACCCAGTTTACATATATATTTATTTTTTATTTGGATATTGTATTGTGTACATACAATACAAGCACATTACAAACATATAAACATGCAACAGAGATTTGAACTCACTCACAACCACGATGAAACACCCAGCAACTGCAATCAGACGCCACATTGAATACCTAAACAGACGGCTCAAAATTGTTACTTACAGTTTGTATGATATCTGTGGCGCATTCTGCAACACCATCTCGACATGTACACGTTTGGCATATATCGCTAATCGTCCAACTTTTCCCATTGGAATACAGAACTCCGTCAACTAAACAGTCACCTAGATAAAATGAATGGAAACAAGTAAAGTAAATAAAGTATCCAGAAAAACATTTAAGTTTTCATCTTTGATATCCAGCGAATAAACTCAAACTAATTGCAGATATACACACTCCACGATGTACGGATTTCGCAAGGTGTCTAGCCAATACATAGTGACTCTAATACACGCTTGGTTGATTACAAAAGTACACTGATTTCAGCCTACCAGGTTGAACTTAACTCTAGTTGAATAATTTGTATCCGACTAAACCCTAAAATGACTTACTATATTCACAATGATTCCCAGAGTATCCGTCTACGCATGAACATTCATAACCCTCGGAGTTGGCATTATAAGTACCACCATTTCGACATGGATTGATGTCATTTTTCGTCTTAGAATCTAAATTGCAGTGAAAATAAGAAAATGTAAAGTATCTCTATTCAATTATCGCGGTCAGTATATGGAACAGGGACAGAATAGAAAAAAACATTTGATGTAACAGTAATCGACTCTGACCTTCTGTTCCGCAGTTGTCTCCATAAAAACCAGCTGAACACAAGCACTCATAATAGTTAGAATCACCGACGCAAGTACCACCATTCAGACATGGATTCCTCTGGCATCCACTCAGTTCTGCAACCACAAAAAATGTATTTGTCATGATAACATGTTCTCAAATCACCCCACGCGGTTTGACGAGACAAGTCAGTGCAAATATAGATGTGTTGAACATGGTTTCTTTTTTTGTGTCATGGCTATATATAAATGTGGCTAATATATACTACCAAACCAGTGAGAGTTGGATTACAGACGCTGAATTTTAAAACTGTTCTCTATTGCATTACGGCACGCGTACCTTTGCATTGCGACGACGTTATCTCTGAGCCGGCATGAATGATGTTTATCCTTATCAAGTCGTGACTGACAACGATAACAAATACCATCGTATATATGTTATGCAAACATATTCATAGTGAAATATAAACCAGCTTTCGTCACAAAACACTTGAGTTTTGCTACGCAAACTAACAGGCCATGCTCATAGTTCAATCTAGGGGAGGGGATCCAGATGAGCAAAGGCACGTATATTTGTTATTTCCATCGATACCTGAGTTCATTATTTAGACATGGACTACTCTCGCATTCGTCAATTTTTGAAAAAAAAATATAGCGAAGATGGTTGGTCTCTTATGTACAGTGTTGCCCGTTACTTCAATTGCCATCTGTTGA